CGTCATAAATCATTTCTCGGGTTAACTCTTTGACTTGAAATCGTTGACAAAAAAAAAAAATATATATACTAAAAGAAAAAGAATACACCTTGACTTGAAAATCCCTAATCTAAATTCATTCAATTGATTACCACTTACACTTTCTCGATTCTCAGACGCTGAGATTCGTTTCGACAATGTCGGTAAGCATTCTCTATTCTCGGCGTTTTTCTTGTTTGGCAGCAATCTTGTTTCTTAGATTCGGTTCCCAAGTCTGTGTTTCATATTTCGCTATATTCAGATCTAATTACAAAGAATTGCGTTTTTCTAAATCTTCTCATGAATGTGGTTAAGTTCCACTGAAGAATTCGGATTTCTGCTAGGGTTTTTGGTTGAACACACCAGCTTTACTGTTTCCTTGATCTGATGATTTTGACTGATGAAATCTGAGATCTCGTTACTGTGTCGGTTACCTAAAAACGAAGAAGAAAAAATAAAAACAGAAACTTTTCAATTTCACTTGTTTTGGTCCTCCTTCTGAATCTACAGTTTCCAGATTTTTTTCCCTAAATGCTAATTTTTTTAATACATGTATAATTTACCCTTTTGATTCTTAGTATCAATGAAAGTTTTGGCTTTTGTCTTTTGTCTTGATGAATTGATCTCCTCCACAGGGTGCTTTCAATCATTTGGATCAAACTCAGCACAACATTATTCTTATGGATTCCCAGTCAACTGCCTCCCCTGTAAGAACAAAGTTTCTCTCCCATTGTATAACTTGTAACAAGTCTAATCACGAGGCCTTGATTCGGCTCATTATGGTACTTTGTTGCAGGTGAAAACTGTGAAGATAAGCAATGTTTCACTCAATGTTTCTAAGAAAGATGTCAAAGAGTTCTTTTCTTTTTCGGGTGATATTCAATACGTCGAGATTCGAAGGTGAAAAAAAGTTGGTACTTATTTCGTTGTTGAGATCATTCTTGAACCAACGTCTAATGTGTTAATCACGTATCGCAGTGAGACACAAGAATCTCAGGTTGCATTTGTTACTTTCAAGGATCCACAAGGAGCAGAAACCGCAATGCTCCTAACGGTATTTCATATGGTTTCTTTTGGGCATTTACATAATTTGGAATTTGAGGTCTCTTCATGAATTACAGTTTAAGGTTTTCCTCTAGGGAGCTGTCATTGCAGATCTTCGTGTCAGTATTACTCCTGCTGTGAACTACAAGCTGCCACCAGAAGCCCTTGTACTTGACTCGGTAAAGCCAATGGCACCGCCGATCGAGAAAAAAAAAAACTCTTTGCTTTATTGGTTACTTTCAGTTCTCATGTTGTTTCCTCTGTTTAGCAGGAAAGTTCGTATAATGGTTTCACTGTCAAGAAAGCTGAAGATGTAGTAAACATCATGGTGGAAAGGGGTTATGCTCTTGGAAAAGATGCGCTGGAGAGTGCCAAAGCATTTGACGACAGACACAACTTGATGTCAAACGCTTCAGCAACCATTGCCTCGCTTGACAATAAGATGGGACTGAGCGAGAAGCTAAGCATAGGAACAACTGTGGTGAACGAGAAGTTGAGAGAGATGGATGAGCGATATCAGGTCAGGGAGATAACAAAATTCGCTTTAGCAGCTGCGGAAGAGAAAGCAATCATTGCAGGAACGGCTTTAATGGCTAACCCGTATGTATCAAGCGGAGCTTCGTGGTTTTCAAACGCGTTTGGTGCAGTGACAAAGGCGGTTAAAGAGAAAGTTGAGAATGGAGAGGGGAGAAAGGAGATTATCCAACTTGGTGATACTTCACCTAAAGCTCCTGCTGTAGTTCCTGTTAGTTCGGTCGACACAGATTTCACCAAACCAAGCTTCTAAATTTGCTTCTCAGACTCAATTCTTTGATAGTTTTGCACAGTGCATATGCTTTCATATACCATTGTCGTCTTCTTATTGCTCAAGAAAGATAAATATAATAAACCTTAAAATGTGTTTTTACATTGACACAGAATTTACCCATTCACAAAGAAAACCTTAAAATGTGTTGTTACATTGAGACAGAATTTACCCATTCACAAAGAAATTGATTCAAGAAAAAAGCAAATGACTTGAAGGACAGTGAGAGGTTGAATGAAACCGGTGGGTCTCAGTTGCTGAGTTGAAGAAATCTCTTCGCCATTGGATGCCTAGCTTGGGAAAGCTCACTAGGTTTGAGAACTTCAACAATCTCCCCATCAACAACAAGGCAAACGATATCAGCAACTCGCTGGATCTGCTTGATGCTGTGAGACACAATCACAGTAGTAATCCCTCTCTGTTTCTTCAGTTTCACTATAACATCCTCAATGTTCTCAGTTGATATCGGATCCAAAGCGCTTGTTGGCTCATCCAGCAGCAACACCTCAGGCTCGTTGGCTAGAGTCCTCGCAAGTGCTACTCGTTGTGCTTGACCAACAGATAACTCCGCACCAGTCTTCTTCGCAAAGGAAGCATCGAGGTCCGCAAGACTTAGCAGCTTGTAAAGCTCTTCTTCACTTAACTTCTCCCCTCTCAAATTCGGACCATATCTCACATTATCCGCAACAGTCCCTATAAATCACCAATCATACCACATTGCAGGTTTCAAATTCCACAATCTACCTATGAGACTAGAGTAACCTCTACTGTTCCAATGATCTAACCATTTGACTCCTTCACATTAACACAGAGCAGACACCAAAAAGCAATATACTTTTCACATTTTAAAGATCGGCAAGCAAATTTGATTTACCTTCAAAGAGGACAGGAAGCTGGAAAAGCATTCCGACTCTACGACGGAGAGTGATGACGTCGATGTTCGTAATGTCTTGTCCGTCCAAGAAAACAGTCGTCTCCGGTGGCTCCCAGAGACGATTCAGAGATCTCAAAAACGTTGACTTTCCGCTTCCACTAGGACCAATCACTCCAACGATCATACCTTTCGGTATATCAATCGTAACTCCTCTCAGAATCAGAGATCCATCATCGGAGACTCGGGTCAGATCTCTAACACGAATCTTTGGTTCCTGACCGGATAAAACATCCACGTCCAACAGATGCTCACGTAACGACCCATCCGATTCGCCAGACAAAACCAATGTCATGGCTTTGAGTTTTCAATTTTGATGATTGTCCAAAGTCTTAAAAGTCGAGTCTTTTTGTAAGAGCAAATGTGATCCAGAGATAAGGAATCAGTCAAATTGATATTGACAATTTAAATTTTCTTCCACTGACAATATATGGCCATCTCTTCTCTTCAAACCTCAAAAAGTTTTTAGATAATCTTTCAAATTTGGTTATTTTTATGAACAAGGTCAATAAAAAGATTGCAACTTTTGTATACAGATTCAATACTAACTACCAATTTCTAAAATAAAAATTGCATCTTCTCAGGATGAAATCTTCAGTTCAGGTCTCCAATAATTTTTTCAGCACTTATAAAGCTCAGGAGACGAAAGTTATTAAGTTTTAACATCACCAGATTCACATTGAGAAGATACCATTTAAATTAATTGAAATCGATTTCCAGATAAACCCATCTTTAAAAACAGTTTTACGATTGAAAAAAGTAAAGATATGTATATATGCCTTCTTTCAGTTCAGGTCTCCATATTTTTCCGCATGAATTTATCTCGGAAGAACGAAAGTTATGATTTTGATCGTCATCAAGAGGCATATACATAACTTTAGCAAATAAATTCGAAAGAGATTTTAAAAGCAACACAACAAAAGAACAAGACTACTACAATCGATAAGATAGAAGAACGACGCAAGTAATTG